TGTCATGCTGGACAACCTGTTAAACAATCATGCCTCTAACACTAGGATGCCAGTGTCTGTGTAAAAAGAACACAGGCGCGGTATTATGCCACCTATTTTTTAGCTCGGTATAAAGCCGGTTTCACATAGGATGCAGTGGAAATGGAGGAGAAGCAGATTTTGTGGATCCACACCCTCTTCTTCTTTGCTGCAGCTTGTCTCGTCCTCCTCATCAGTACAACTAAATCCAGAGCATTTTGCTGATATGTAGATACAACATAATCCAAGTCCACTGCTCAAAAAACTAGTTAATGTCTGCTAAGCACCTCTTGGAAAGCATTTTGGTCACCTAGCAACTGGCGCCCAAGGTGTACAATTTGCCTGTGCACGCCCTGCTCCACCCCTGTGGCGAGCCATCTGAAAATGGCTTAAATAGGCAAAGCTGCAATAAAGAAGGGCAGGCTTAATACCAATGTAGGAGAATCTCTGTCTCAAAGAGGCTAGAGTTAAGTATTTAGCAGCTGAAGATCCAGATAGCAATATGTCTTCTTCTTACCCCACATAAGCAAAACAGAATTTAAATCAAACTCCAACATTTGCAGGGTTCACTTTTGACCATGATTAGCTAACGCTTTTCTTCTAGCTTGCAGTCGTACAAAGCTAGACTAAATATGTCTTGAACCTAGGTGAAATTAAATGCAATCTTCTAAAATGTTCCAAAATGTTGAACTGTTCCTTTAAGTTTGCAACCTAATTCTTTATTTATACTATGTCTTGCAACTGCCGACTTGTCTGTCTTTGATTTCAGAGCCGACTGTAAGCACCATCTAGTCCAATGAAGACAACAATGGCGAGGTACAGTTAAGTGGGGATACATATGATCTGCCAAAAAACAGCCACATCCCCTCTCACTACGACCTTCTACCAGCGAGAGACAGCCCATTGTCAGAGCTTAAGGAGCCGGGCAGTGAATGATGGCAAAAAGACTCAGTACATTCTAAAAACTGCTGGATTAAAAATA